AATGATTTAATGCGCTTTACCATGCATCATTTCTTAAAAGTAGTCAGAAACATAAAATATTAATATTTTCGTTCTCAGCTTGTGGAAGAGCTGCTTGTGATGAGCTTTCATTCATCATGTGACTTTCTAATCACCATTTGTTTTTGGTGGTTATTAGTGTATTACAATGGTTCAAAACAGATATTAGTACTTCAACAGGTTGGTATATTAACATTATATCAGTTGAAATGAAATACTTTTTATTGTGAATTTAAGATGAGTCTGTAAACCCTAAAATTGTCAGGATTATGGACTATTCTGTGTGTTTTTTTGCCCCGGTGACCCAGTTTCTTCCTCATGTTGATTGTGTTAATTTGATTCCAGGTGTGTCTCGTTCCTCCCCAATTATCCTGCCTTTAAAAGCCCTAGTCCTTTCAGTTCTTGTTTGTCGGGTCTACTTGTTGAATGTCCTCCTTGTTCTCGGTTTTCCTGTGGATTACTAAAGACCGTGTTATTCAAGTACTCCTCGTTTCCTCGTTCCTTGCTCCCCGAGTGAATGGTGACAAAAATTATGCTACCATATTTTTTTACGGGGAAGTTCTGGCAACCACAGCTGCTGGCATTTTACCGTAAATCTCACAGATTTTTTTTTTTTTACTATGTGGACAATATTGATGTTTTCTAAAGAAAATGTTTTCAAAAATACATTCTGTAAAAACAAAAAAAAGCAAACATAAAATATGAATAATTAATACCTTATGGTAACATGGCTTCTAAATGTTACCAAATAACCTCCTAGCATCCTCTTGCAGACCCCAGATGCCAGTTTTAAAAAAAGATGCCAGTTTAAAAAAAAGAACCTAGGTTCAGATTCCAATTTAGAACGCAAAATCTCACATTTTGCTCTGTTACAAAGTCAAATTACAACATATTTAATTAAGATAATTTTATGATTCATTTTTTAACTATGCTTGTCAATCTGTCCAGGCAGACTTCACACAGCGTTCAGATAGCGTTCCAGCTGCACTAATTTTTAATTGTTGGTCTACATACACATGCGTCTGACAGATGTTTTTGTTTGTTGTGTTCCACACCATGAGCGCTTTGGTTTTAAGGAAATCAATCAAGTTTAAAAGTAGTCAAAAAACCAACTCTGAATGACCCCTGAATTAATCAAGTGTTGTTGAGTTAAATCTATTGGGACAGCTCACAACTCAAACAGATCGGATCAGTACTGTGTTTTTATGTAGACCATGGAACCACCTGTAGAGCGAAATTGTCTTGAGGAATAAACGTCCAACAGAAGGTTATAAAAATACTAAAATACTACTAAAAATACTTTGCCAAGGACACCTGTGATGTCCGTTGTAACCAAACGGAAAAAGCAAGGCAGAATCCAAACATTACTAAGATCAGGCCATCTACCAGATCGACTAATCAAGGACAGAAGGTAAATTGCCAGAGAAAGGATCAGAGGCCCGCTACAACTGCAGAGTTCTTTGGATGAAATGGGGGAAACTATGTAGATCTCAACAATTCTTTCGACACTTCACTGATTCTGCCTCTCTTCATGAGAATGGCTACAAGAACGCCAATTCGGAAAAAGGCAGACATTACATCACGGCTAAAGTTTTCTAGAAGCCACGTGACGAAACTTTTAAGCCACTCCAAACCTTCTGGAAGAATTTTGTGGTCTGATTAGTCCAGGGTCGAGTCGATTCACCTAAAGCAAAGGAGACTGTTTGGCGCAAACCAAATATGGCCCAAGACCAAGGCATCAGCGTCTCTTCCATCAAGTATGGTAGTGGCAGCATCATTCTCTTTTCAGCAGGAGCAACTGGAAACCTTGTTGGCACCAAGACCAACATGGATAGAGACAAATAAACCACAGGTAAAGACTGGGATAGAAGCTGTTTGAGTCAGTCAGAGATCTGCATTTAGAGTAAAGATTAATTTTCCAGTGCAACAAAAATCAAGAGCACACAGCTAAACTATAAAGGGATGGCTTGGAAAAAAGAAGTTAGCAGTTCTGGAATGACCCAGTCAGAGGCAAGACTTCAATCCAAACTACAGTATGATCAGGAAAATACATTGTGCAAATGCTAATTTGGAAGAGTTTAAAATTCCAATACATAAAGCTCATAGAATTACTCAAACGTACTGTGTTCTTAAATATAGAACAACCAAGACTCAACCTTTATTGCCCACAAAATACATTTAGCTAATGTGACAGTGCCTTAGCATTAGCATAGACTCAGGAAGTGGAAAAACAATTAATGCATTAATTGTGTAAAAAAAAAAAAGAATTAATCATAAATGTTTTTGAACTTATGAATTTACTCAATGGTGAAAAATTATTTTAGTGAGTTATAAGGTTCATAATTTGGACAAAAAAGTAACAACATGAATGCTTTCTGTAAACACTGCACATGTGTTGTATAAAATATTTAAGTGCATCTGAAGTACAAAAGTTACAGCAGTTTGGAAGGAATCCCTTCCGCTGAGTCTTGAGATATAGGACTCTGCTCAAGACCTTCTGTGACAGCTTTTCATGGAGCTGGTTTCCAGAAGAAAGCAGGATTTTAATGCGCACATGGGATATATCGTGGGTTATATCTGCAAGACTCTTACAGATGAAATTCAGGGGAGGTTTGTTGGACTGTAGAGCAGAACAGAACAGTAACTCTATCAGCTCTCAAAAGTGAGCCTATGAAACAGAGACCATCCAATCTCAGTTACTGCTTTAAACCTCCTGTTCTAGGAAGCAATGACGCTGCACGCTTTAGAAAAAGAAGGGAGAAAAATCAAGGTCCCGCTCAAATAATTTGTTCTCACTCTTATGTTTAGTTGGGGAGGCAAGAAGCAGACTAAATCAATCACACTGAGTCCTGAATAGACTGAGACGGGGCAGAGACAGTGAAAAGCAGCCAAGTGCCTGCAATTCCCAGCATTAGTCTCCAACAGAAGGTCACCATAATGATGAACCTGAGATTTGTTTAGGCTATGTAAAACCATATTATATAACTAATCTCTGGACCCACATACAAAACGGTTCCATTGTTTTTTAAGTAAATGTAATTGATCATCTCTATTTAATAAAAGTACCAAACATAGTACTCTTTTCAAGAAGCCAGTTGCTGAAGCAGACAGGAAAGAGTAGTGACACTGGAAGCGGTCCATAGTAATTACGCTGCCCCCTGAAAAAGTATTGTGGGTAACAATACTTGGTAACAATGCCAACAAAAGCAACAGGGAGGAGGTGAACTTGCATAAGGATTTCTTTTTTAGACAAGTTACATGGACGCAGAATTGACTTCAACTGAGATGTTTGTCTAATTATGTTAATGTACATTTTTACACTTAAATTGTGGTCCAGCAGCTTTCATGAACATTTCTGATGTTTCTGATGGCTGCTCTTCCTTTGCAAGCTCGAAATCCTTAATTGTTCCAGCAACAGGACAACATGTTATGTTGTTTATATCAGTGTGAGACCTAACAGGAAATTCACACAGGATGCACTCTCTCGCTACAATGCAGCTGCAGAACGCAAAGTTTAGGAACATTAATTATACACAGCTAATACAGACACTCAATACGCTTATCCATACATAAACATGCTTATGTTGTCCCCCACACTCATCTGATTGGCCAAATGTTTTAAAACAGACAATGATATGCTGTGTTGTAAAGACTGAGTCAGTAGGATTTTTTTAAAGAAATTAATACTTTAATTCAGCAAGAACACATTAAATTTAGAAAAGTGACAGCATTACAAAAGACTACTAATTCAAAAAAAGCTGTTCTTTTGAAATTTTTGTTCATCAATTAATAAAGGCATCACAGTTTCCACAAAAATATTAAGCAGCATAACTGTTTTACAATTTGATAATAATAAGAAATGTTTCTTGAATACCTAAATTTGAAAGAAAAAAAAAACTTTTTTAACTTTCAGTAAATTTGACATTATGCATTTTAATTCACATTTGCTGTTGCTGTTTAAATTTTATTTGTTTCCTGTGTTGTCTTCAACACAAGTTACAGATAACCGTTATCTATATTTCAGGGTCCTCAAGGTCAAAAGACTTGTATTTGCTTGTCAGTAACACCTGTTGGATTAGTTTCTTGTCAGACAAAGTTAAGCAGAAAAGAACAGAGCTTTAACAAAGACAAAACTTACAATTATAATATAAATTCCACTTAATTCTTAACCTTCAAAAGTTTGGGTCAGGAAGATCCTTTTTTTTAAATAAAATAATACTTTTATTCAGAAGGAATACATTAAACTGATCGGAAGTGGCATTTAAAACATATTAAAATAGAAAACAGTTATTTTAAGTTGTAATAATATTTCACAGTATTACAGTATTAAATATATACAGCCTTGGCTGTTGTAACCCTGACAAGTCATCTCTAGTTTGTGTTGCTGATCATTTTGAGAAAATATTGTATTTCAGCAAAATGATCTTGGAGGATAGTATATCTCACTTCAAAAATTGATAATTATAGTTTTCCCCAGTCTAGCATGTCTCACTTTACCAGCTTGGCTAGACAGATTGAAGAACAGTGTGGGACAGTTCAAATCAGCTGCAGCCTTTAGATGAGGTCACAGACTACTGATCTGAGCTCAGTTTCCTCCATGTGACTTTGACATCATCATACACTATGTAATTCCTCCATGTTCTCACATTCCAACTCAAATAGATTCGCCACAATAATGTGATGTCTCTATGCAAAGGACACAGGTCTCATGTTTAGAAAATATGTTTGACACATTGCAGCAGGAAGGAGTTAAAAAACTTGATAGACCAGGTGACAGCGGGTTTCCAAGTAACCTGTTCCAAATTTTCCACTTTAACCCCAGCCTCAGCTCATTTTAGAGCCAATGACATCATATGTAGTGTAGCGAGAGAGCGGTGTGACAAAGTAAAGCCAAGCTGACCGCAAATTAGACGTTATTCACAGAAAACATCTGAATGTTCAGCCAGAGCTGTCACATATAGGCTACTGCACTTTTTTCTTACCGTTCTGTTCTTCTAGCTCATTGCCGATCTCCTGACCCATCTGTTTTTGTCTACTTATGACTGCAGCCAGAGCATCCAGGCCAGCATCCTGAACTAAAGAGAAAGACACATGAGAATAGAAACAAATTTAGACAGAACTGTACAAAAGAAAGACAAAAGGGCACATATTTATCCAAAAATGGTTTAACGTGCATATTTTATGTTCCTGTGGTTAACATCATGTAAATCATCAGGAGTTGAAGGACAAGCTAAATGCTCATCTCATGTGGGTCAGAAAACCAATTGAAAAGTGCATAAATTCCATCTAAATGAGCCTCACAGAGAGAGAGAAAACCATTAGCAGCAGGGTGTTGGCATCTGTGACATTTAAATGACACACAGTGTGATCTGATATCATTTTTGACAGAAGCAGCTGCAACGGTGAGCCACAAGGTACTTTAGCAGTAACCTTGAAGCTAAAAGTATAACTTGGGTAGACAAAACGGCTCCTGCTTTTTCTCAAAACTCCTACCAGTTGCTATTCTCAAATGAGTAGCAGATCTCATAATGGGGGCGTAAATTCAAAAAAGGGCTTCTTCTAATGTCTCATCCCATCAAAATGACAGCAGAAAGAGGTGGACAGATAATTGCCAGCTAAAAACAATTTCAAATACCACATTAGTTATAAGACCGAAAGACTTCAAAGAAATCATATGCGATATACCTTCGATAATATGCTGCTGTTGGTGTTTGATTTCTCCAAAGCTGAGTCCTCTGGTCTCCTCAGACTCATTAACCAGACACGGGTTCACGGCAGGCCCCGAACCGTTTCCCCCTGTCATCAGACTTGACCTGGAGATACACATTGTATCATGTCAGTTTATTACACAGACTCTTCTAAATTCTGAAAATCAATGTACGCGAAAAGTATCATATTGTGTACTTAACTTTTATGAGACTATGCACCACATTCCCATGATTCACTAACAAAGGTTGTTATGGGGGGAAAAAAAGTATAATATAAAACTATTGACTTATAGCCTGTGGTTATAAGTATAAGTGCTAAATACACACTTCCTTTCAAAAATTTGGGGTTAGTAAGATTTTTGAATGTTTAAGTCTCTTATTAACACAGGCTGCATTTATTTGATCAAAAATACAGTAACAGCAGCATTGTGAAATTTAATTACAATTAAACAAATAATTATTTTCTGTTATAATATACTTTATACATAAAATTGAATTTATTCCTGTAAGAGCAAAGCTGAACACTCAACTACCATTACTTCAGGCTTCAGTGTTACATGATCCTTCAGAAATTATTCTAATATTCAGAACTGCATAAGATACATTACTTATTATGCAGCACAAATATTTTCAAATTTTATAATATTTTTGTGGAAACCTAGATATGTATGTTTTTCAGGATTCTTTGATGAATCAGAAAGTCCAAAAGAGCAGCATTTATTTGAAATCTTCTATACCAATGTAAAACTATCTGTATTTTCACTTCTGATCAATTTAATAGATCTTTGCCGAATAAAACTATTATTTAAATCTTACCGAAATTTTAGAGTCTAGGAAGCACACATTCACTGTGCTTCATAGGAATGGGCTTGTTTGTCCTAAATTGTTTCACCTGGAATTAGCCATTTTTTTTTTATTATGCTTACATCTGATGGCTTCAACAGAAGCATAGACCATAGATTAATAATATTGGAGTTCACGGTAGGTCTATCTTGAAAGGCTTACACAGAATCTTAACATATCATTTTTAAAGATATTTTTTTTTTACGAAAACCAAAAGAAACCGAGTGCACTGTTATTTTGCAGAAGTAAAATCGCTGTAACACAAGCCTCTTTTAGCTTATTGTTTTAATAAAACACAAAAACTTATGTATGAACATGCGTTTATGAATTCAGCAGTCATCACTGTAATACACAAAGTCAACTTTCTCATTACATACACACACAGTAACTAGATTACATACACAGTGCAATATTATAGTTATTCCACATGCACTGTCAATCAACAGCTACGTGCACACATCAAATGGACACACATCATCTACTTTACAAATGTAAATAAACTTCGAAGCATGTCTGTGAGTTGTTCAAGAGCCACAGGCTCTTTTACCAAACTCACATCTGTAGCACTCATGTGCCTTCAGAATAAATAATCTTTCTATTTTTTACTTCTAAAACAGCAAACAACATCCCCTACTTTGGACCTTGTAAGATCAGAGAACCTCTGTTTATTTGTTCATATGGGTTCCACTTTGTTGGGCCCGGAGAGTGAGTTTTCATGCCCTACGTTACAAGGACACAAAGCATATGAACCGCCTCTGGCTTTTATACAAGCTTTCAAAGCGTCATGCCAAACCGAGAAGTGGCCTGTTATCCTGTGGAGACACTGCGTTGTGCTTTTGTACTTTTCTTTGATTAATGTATGAAACCTGTTCCCCCTGAGGCTCCTGGACAGCTCGCAGAGAGAGAAGTGAAGTTTAAAGGCTCTTCTGGAAAAGCTATCAGCGCTCAGCATCGCACAGAGAGTTATGAGCCGGTCACTAGCTTGCACGGGTGTCCTGCTTCCTGTAGCCTATATCAAAAGTACCAATACCCGTGAAAACAAATCCATCCATGGCGCTGATTACAAACCAATACGTTTTTTTTTTTATTTCATGTCTGGATGGTACAACTGTCTTGATATCATAGTAAAGAAAAAAGCTTCATTACAAATTCTTAGAAATAAACCATATTGAGTACTTTGGGACAATATTTCGGCATTTAAAGACCCAGTTAATTTATGAACAATAACAATTTGAGAAATGCCAAGCCACGTGGTGCAACCAACATGAAGAAAAAAGATATACAACAGGAAATTGAGGACTGCTGCAGACCCTCACAACTCTTAACATTTTAATTAGTTTGAGTTTTTTTTTTTTTTTTTAAATAACACAAACAGGTTAGTTAAGGTTGTAAATTTCCATATGATGAAAGATATTTATTAATTAATAATCAATATTATTTGTATAAAACACATTTTAACTTAATTTAAAAATCTATACTTACAGCTTATAAATATAGCTTATAATACTTAAAGTAAATAATGACTGATGAAGATGTGCAAACCTAAATGTATTCTAAAAGTGTAAGGGAAAAAAAGGTGTATTTTTATTAGATTATTAGTAAATAAAATGAAACTTCTGAAAATACTATATGAATCCAACATGCATACAAAGAGTGCATTGCTAAAAACTTAGCACATGTGTTTTAAACTAGATTTTCCTTTATCATGCACTCTCATATATGTCAAAGTCTCATATCTAAGATTTATAACCATTTTTATACTGAGGATTTTTTTAATGTTTCCTTTCAGGAACATGCAGTTGTTCATGCAGGTTAAGGTGAAACTGCATGTCAAAAAAGGTATTTGAGTAAAACTCAAATGACTTCCTCTCACTATAAGCGCCAGTTTCTGACAATGGCCCTTCTCTTCCACTTAGTTCAGCATCAGCGGAGCTTCATTTGGGTTCAGAGAGGTCGCTAACCTCTGAAGAGTCTTCAGCTGGATCTGTTCCTCTCATTGTCATCCTTCCTCACACCGAGCAAGTTTACTTCTCACATGCTTGGTGAGCTAGACCTCTTTCTTCTCAATCTCTCCATTCCTCCAGCTTTCTAATCTACAAAAGTACCAAGGCAGTCACACAGTGCCTTTGAAGCGTGGTCTCTATCCAAGTCCAAGCTGATATCAATCCTCTGGCCAGCGAGAAAAGTGGTCAGCGGCGGATCCTAATCTTTCTGACATGTTTGGCAACTCGTAGCTTGCGCCAACCCCTCTACACTTCCTCAGCTCCATCTCAGCGGCGTGAGAATTAACGCTTATCCAATTAACCTCCCGCAGAGCCCGCAGACTTAATCAGATGAGGCATCACACTGGAGCGAGACCTGGAGACAGACCTCGTCTCTTAGAGGCCCTATTTAACTAATTACAACTTTGTGCATTACAATCAAATATAAAAGAGAGGAAACGGGGGGAGGAGGGTAGGGGCACTCTGGTCGGGAACTCTGAATCTTCAAATGAGCGGCATGTCATTTTGTGCTTGATTAGAGGTTAATCTTCCACAAAGGTATTGTTTCACGAATGCCATAAGCCTGGTCTTAGCCCTATGGAAAAAAAGTGAAATGCTATTTCAGCTTATTGAAGCAAAGCTAACACCCCCACTGGCAGACAAAGACCACACAGTGAGATGAATCCAGGCCCTAAAAATCCTGCCAGGCTAACACCCTCATAAAAAATTATTTAGTATTTAAAAAACTTGATCAAATGACTGTCATTTATTAGCGCTCTTTAGCTAAATGTGTGCACAGCGTAACAGTGCGACGTGACCAATAAAGATAAAATTAAGCCCTCCCATGTTAAGGAATTAGAGGACTAAGTCCACAAAGATGGCTAGAAAAAAAGGAATCAGGCCTATAAATGATCTCAAAGTTTCTTAATTTTATTCATTAAAGATAGTAACTAAATACCTCTTCTCAGCCTTTACCACCCACTGAATCAAAAAGGCCCAATCTATCAAACCTTAAGAGAAGAAGCCTCTGTGTCAGTGTTATTTTAGTATTATTACTATGAAAATATAGTGCACTATTATTTCGAATGAATAACAAATCAATTTTAGTTTACAAGGATAGTTCATCCATTTTTTTAGTTTTAGTTGAAGTTTACAATAACAACAGAAAAGAAGAGTAATCCAGACAGATGGAGCATTAAGCTAAAAAATATATGATTTTTATATATTAGCAGGTTGTTTTGCCTTCCTATCCTAGTACGTATAACCTGGATCGAGAAGGTCAAATCAGAATAATGACCATCTCATTTCGCTGAGGAAGTTCGGCTCCTGGGCTGTCGTTTCGATTGAGAGTCAGAAGCGCACAGGAGATTGGCGGTGACACATTAAGTCTCTGATTGGTGTATTTTGGAGAGAGGATGTGAGAGCAGTGGAGAGTAGGGAAGTGTAAACAGTCCGGATGGTGGAAGTTCAACACTCAGCTCTGATCAGCAGAGCAGTAAAGCTGAACTGGAGCCCTCAGAGAGTGTGCACAGACTTCCGTTTGAGCACAGGTCGCACCATTTCTGGCATAAAGTTTCTCCACCTTGAGACACTACTGCAGGGCCAAGAAAGAAACATGGCAAGCAAAGGCCTCTATGGTCGACTAACTAGGGCACAGAGTTCAAGGTTTCTCTACTGTTGTTCTGCATAACCATCAAATTAAGGTGAATATCAAACTATGCAGCTTCAAATAAGGATGGCCTGCTAAACTGGGGCCAGAGTGAGAGAGTTTTGAGCCAGCTGACTGAGTCATTTGGAACAGTCACTTCCTCTTTCAGGCCACTGCTGTGTCGACACTGAACATTTTACATTCATTGATCTTGTACATCCAATATACCTTGCAACCACGAACATTTGGTTTTGTATTCTACATCATTGATGCAAAACCTGCTGATTTGTCACCAAAATATTATTACTTTCCGAAAATAATACCTATTTTTTCAGGAAGGATGCATTAAATTGTTTAAAAGTGAGAGTAAAGTACTGTTTTCAACATTGATAATAATTAAAAATTAGTCCTAAAGGATCATGGGGCGCTGAAGACTACTGGAAATTCAACTTTGCCATCAGAGGAATAATTAAAATATATTAAAACAAAACAGTTATTCTAAATTGCAATATTACACAATAAAACGGTGGTTTTTACTGTATTTTTAGCCAATCAATAAAGCCAAGGTGATCATAAGAGACTTTCAAAAACAACAACAAAGCATCATATCAATCCTAAAATTTTAACCAATTATTATTGTTTTTCATTATAGTGTGTTTTCTGTAACGTTGAAAAGACAAAGGAAAAATCTAAATATTTCTGGCAAAAATTGAAAATTGATTATTCTGTGTGGAAAAAACATCAACAGGGCAAAATCGGTTGTTGATGTTCACTAGCCTTAAATAAATAAATATATAAATACATAAATAAATAAACAAATATAAATAAGTCAATATTGTTAAACCATAATATGATAAATCACTTAAAAGAATCAACTTTTTTCACTTCTAAGAAATGACTGATGTTTCCAAAAGGTTGATGCTAATAATGTTGATATAACGCCAATATATAATCAATACATCAAATGATATTATACAAAATTGCTAAAAATTTAATTAACACCAAATAAAATATGTACGGTTTTTGTTGCATTTTTTTATTTAAAAAAATAAATAAATGTTGCAAACATAACGTATAACGAACCCTGTGGTATATTTTATTCATTAAACTTATATGGTCAAAATGTTCAGTGGTCACAGAAATGATGTACCTTGATGGCTCAGCTTCTGAGATGTCTGCTTTAAAAGAGGCGTTCAGTCTCGTTTCTCTGGTAGCGAGGTCATCAACAAGGTTCTGTCTTCTGTCTGCTTCAGCTTGCATTCTAACATTATTCATTAAGGCTTTAAAATGACACATTTATGATTGCATAATTATACTCATCTCACAGAACCATTGCTAAATCATCATAAACATCTGTGACTTATGAACATAACAGTAATATTTTAACAGTACTTCAATACTAAAACACACTACTTCAGACCATACGGTCATTGGTTTGTTATTATACACTGCCCCCTACAGGTGCTCATAAGAAATCACACTTTTTTCTCATTATTAAAGGAGGTTCACGGTAATATTAAGATTCTGTGTTTGTTTAATCAACCTAATATCAATTAAACCTGTATGCTAACAGGTATTTTGTTCAAAATGAAAGGAAAATTTGGCAGAGTTTCTGCCAGTTCTGCCATCACTATGAGCTCCTAAAACAACAACAACAAAATTCACATAACCTTTTTGTCTGAATCATAATGCCAGTGAGCTGAACTTAAGAGCCAGTCTAATCCATGAACCATATTAACTGTTCATTGAAAAGAACTGGCTCAAAAGTGGAGAGACTGGAGAGAACTAGTTCTTCAGGTACAAGCTCATTGGAGGGCAGGATAATCAGCAAATAATAAATTCAGCTTGGTCGTTTACTCTATTATATGACTTCATAACACTTATTTCATGACTAGAATGCAATAATTTTATAGTTTTTTTTTTTTTTTTTGCCTTTTCTAGAGAAAATTTCTAAAAAGTGTGAAATGTCTCATTTTGTGTCCCACAATAAATAAATAAATAACAGCATGTATGTTTAAAACTATCTTTGGATGAACTACAATTTAGACAATCTTCAGCCTCAAGACTGTTGCAAAAATGTCTCAAGTCTACTTCATTTATAGAGCCCTTTCCACTACAAAGTAGACCAAAGGACTGTACAGCAACACAACAAGACGAGATTAATAAAAACAAAAATCAACAATAACAGAAAAACTATTTAAAACAATTTACATCTTCCAAAAGTCAACAATTAAAAGCCATAGAAAACAAGTATGTTTTCACACGAGATTTAAAAACATCGCCTGAGGGTGCAGCTCTGATGTCAGGTGGAAGGGTATTCCACAGTCTTGGGCCAGCAACCGAGAATGCATGATCCCCCTTAGTTTTCGGAACTGAGAGCAGTAAGCAGTTAAATGATCTTTGAGGTCTAGCAGAGTTAATATGAATCAGGTCCGTAATATATTCTGGGGCCATATCATGGACAGCTTTAAAAACGCACAACAACACCTTATACTGAATCCGATATTTAACCAGAAGCCAATGCAGCTTTTCCAAAACTGGAGTAATATGCTCCCTTTTCTTTGTACTAGTAAGGAGCCTCGCAGCTGCTTTCTGGACCAATTGCAATATTGAAATAAGAGATTGGCTCACTCCCAAATAAAGTGCATTACAGTAGTCCAAACGGGAGGAGATAAATGCATGAATCACTATCTCAAAATCAGCAACAGACAAAAAGGATTTCATTTTTGCAATAGTCCTCAACTGAAAGAAGCAACTTTTCACCACACATTTAATTGCAAAAAATGTAAGACATTAAAGTATAATGTCAAATATACCACACTCTTCCTCTGGATCTCTCAAAATCTTTGGACCCCACTCTCAGCTTTTGAGAAGCAAGAAATTAGTATTAAGCGATTTTTTTTTTCTGGAAAGGATACATACGCCGTTGAGCAGAAGCTCGAGTCAATGTCTCCTTGAGCTGTGCTATATTCTGTTTGAGCTTCTGTAATGATGCTCTCAGGGTCATGTTGAGCTACAAGTACAGACAAAGACAAAAGTGATATAACAGCATAAAGATCACTGACACATATGGTTTAATTTTATTGTACAAAATATTTTTATAAAACCCTGTCTTTACCTTGGCTGGATTTCCTCCAGTCCTCAGCTGTCTATTTCTTTCATGGATGTTTTCTGCAATTTCTTGAGCCAGGCGACAAGCTGCATCATAATTCTGTAACCTAAACAATGAAAAACAAAACAATGTCAACTTGGTAAAAAATAGTTTTATACCTGCCACAGCTTCCACCAGTTTTCAAGTAATTTAAATCACAAGATTGGCATCAACAAAATCATGTGACAGATCTCAGCAAACCGGACTGGCAACATTTATATCAGCTGTTCGCCGAGTAAAAACATATATATGTACACAAACACAGAATCATTTATTAAAATACAGTGTGTGACGAGCAATAAAGAAATGAATACGGAGATAATTTCAGTCTGAAGTGATCTGGCTGAATACAGATCCACTGACTGCAACAGCAAATTAAGTTTGCTGAACTCTACGACACAGAACTGTAGACCTCAATTGTTTATAAACGATAAGAATTTAGAAATGCATACCACAAATCCTGTGACATATTGCGGCACTTTCGTTTCAGTTATAAAAAGCGTTTCTGTAGAAACTCAGAGCAAAATCACCAGCAACATAAACTGCGCCGTGCCAGTTCCTGTTTGGCCGTGACGTCAGACGGTGGCCTCGTACAGACATATCACGTAGCCTACACTCAAAATTAATACACAGAAAACGTTAAATAGTTTAACACGCTGTAACTATAATATTTAGATTACAATAGACTTTCGCAAGCTTTAGATATGTTAACGTTATTTAGGCTACATTATCTCACTTATTGCACAACTAGTCTCAAAGAAATTAATAGAGAATGGGAATGTGTGGTCACAGCTGCAATGCATTCTGGGAATTTAGGTCACAGGAGCCACAGCGGAGACTGGATAATATAGTGAATGTAGACGTTTGATATTATTTAATGTTTATATTATTCTACTTAAGATCGTGTTGAAGTGGTTAAGGCTCACCTTACATCATTTGCCATAGCCCTTTGCACTGCCGGTGTGAAAAATGTGCTTTTTTCAGCGTTAGCAAGCTGAAAAAGCAGAGGTAATTTCTGCAGACATTGATAAGGGCTATGCCATAGCCCTTATCAATGTCTGCATTAAATACCTCTGCTTTTGATTAACGCTATTTTGATACAGTAAGCGGTAATCATTCCAACGCGATCTTAAGTTGAATCATATAAAAATAGGTATATTGTCTACATTCACTACGGAACTCGGATGAAAGTTAAACTGAAACTCGGTATGGTAAACAACTCAAATAAGATGTGTCTTAATAATTGATCTCTGTAGATTTATTATATACAGTGGTTTGCATTAAACTGTAAGCCCTCACACCACAAATAGAAGAAAATCAAATATGGAAACGTTATCTTGCGGCAGCTCTTTGAAACCTAGCCACTTGTTTGTACGGATTAAGTTTCATTCATTCATTTATTTGATCGCTTGCATCGTTGTTTGTTCGGCATCTCTAATAGTAAGAATCTTCAACTTGGTTCATTCAAGTCAAGGTATTTATTTGCATAGCATCCACAATACACATCGTTTCAAAGCAGCTTCTAGTAAGTTCTGTTACCTCTATAATGGCTTAATTCTTTACACTGAGCAGTTTTACTGGGCAATATGACAATATATAACAATGATAAATGATCCACTGTTTGAGATCTAGCTATGTATTCTCCCCTTTAAAAAATAGCCATGGTTTTGCTACTCTAACCAAAGTGTTTTAGCAGTTAGCCTATATCAGTACCACTGTGGTGAAGGAGACTGAATAATGAATATTTGCAGCCTCTCAGACAAACCACAGAGCGATTTTTTTTATTTAAAGAGATTTACATATTAGTCTGTTTTATTCTAAGAGTATGTAAGATGGTTTTCAAAAAATATTAATAGTAAGCGATCGGCTTTTTCTGTGGTGATTTGCGTGTGTTTACACTGTGTGCTCCTGAGCGTGACCTAAAACATGGCGGAATCCAACGCGGCGTGACGTAGATTCCCATTCTCTATACGAAGACGTAAAATTTCGGTTTGAGTTGAAATTATTCATTAGAAATTAATTATTATATGAGAAGAAATAGACAATGGAGTCAGAAACACTAAATTCAGCCCACACCTGCTAAATCAAGTTGTGAGAGATATTAATTCATGTTGATTGTAGCCATTGTACACATTAGCCTACTGATAATAAAGAATAAGGAAGTGTTGGTTAAAAAAAAACTCTTTACAAATACTCCACAGTCTGCATAAACCGGAGAACAATTAACTAATTGCAATAGAGATGCTATGTTCTTACAGCCTATTGATAGCCCTACTGATTTCACAAGAAACGTATCTGACCCTGCAATATTTCTTACAACAATGTAGCCTATATTTAGCCTAAGTAGGAGTGTAAATCTCTTCATCTTTTTTGTCTCATTCCTCCAAGTTCAGATCTGTTCAGTTATATGTTGTTTGTTACATAATGGCACAATTCTTATCTATGTAAAAGAGACAAACATGTCTCTTTTAATTTCTGTCCTGATAACGTCTTCCTGTGAAATGTTTTGTTTGAAAAGTGTATTTGAGATCTATCTTTAAAATAAATGCTTCTTGGTTTGAGATGCACTTTTACCTGTTGAAGTGCACTCTTATCTGTTTGAAATATAGCAATACCAGGAGCTAATGTTAAAACTATAATGCCTGTTTCAGAAATGTCCTTTATTGTAATATTAGTTGATTAAGTTGGTTGAGTGATCTGTTGTGCTTAATGATTCAGAAACATTCTATGCCCACTATATTATGGTCCTACTGTACGTTATATATGTTCATCAAGTACTTTCACTTCAAATGCGCTAAATCCCAGCCTCAACCCATACAGAACTGTACTTACATAGAAACCTATAGATAGTAGCCAGAAAGAAATGCTAATTTTAAAGAAAAACGTCAGACGTACTTAGAGGCTTTTGCATCTGAACTCTCTCTCTCTCTCTCTCTCTCTCTCTATATATATATATATATGCTGATAATTATGCTCCCACACATATGATGATATCCTCTGATAAATCAAATGATAAATCAATCTTGAAAATGTAAGCGTTATAATCTTTCTAGTCACCATCACAACTTTTTAATATAGTCAAGGCCAGGCTTTAGTGTATTTAAATTAAAAAATATAATAATAATACAATTATAAAAAACAAGCACATATAAATTTTTTTAATTATATAGTTTTGCATCTGCATTATGCATATTAATAGGTAAATGGATTGCAACAAACCTTAACTTAACTTTATTATCTTAGATGAAGGAGTTCAAGGGAGGCTATTAGCTTCATTTGCTTCTTCTGATGGACTGCCACTGAGCATGTTACCTATATTGTTAAAAACAAACAAACAAAGATTTTTAAACTAATGCAGCCTGGTCTTTTAAGTGTTTACTCTGCTTTTTCTCTCACAGTGTTTCACAGATATAATTTACTGTTGCACACAAACAACCTTTTTAAAAATGATTCTCTTTTTTTGGTCTTACCACCATCAAAGACACTTATTAACCAAAATGAGCGTGTCAATCATGCCCACTTCCAGCCCCTTTGATGAGCAAGTCTTTGACACAGGTTGGTGGTGGGCGATAATGGAGGTAGAAGATTTTGTACGGTCATCATCTGAGAAAGCTATATGGGGACCTCACTTCAAGACAGTGGTGGGAAACAATGGAGTCCCCACAAGGACCACCTGTTAGTGATGGATCCCATCAGGAAGAGCCTGTGCCTGCCAGCCTCACTGAGGCAGCACCCATTCCAACTGGATCCCAAAAGGAAGAATCTGTGCCTGCCATGGAACCTGCTGAGGGGAAAAATACGGATCCCAGAAAATATAAAAGAGCATCTTGTCAGGCATAATGTCTTGACACCTTTTCGCTAAGGCTCCCAAAGGGACCACCTACACCTTCCAGTACCCCAAAAGGAGCAACAGCATCCAATGGGTACCCACAAGGATACCCAAAGAGAGCAATTTGCCCACCAGGTCCCATGAGGAGGCACCTGTGACCACCAAGCCCCCACTGAGGAGAAAACAGATGATCCCAGAAAATATGAGCATGCTGTTTTGACACCTTTGCCATTTTATTAGGAAGTTTTTGGATTAAAATGTTATATTTATAAATGTGAAATGTATTTATTTATATATTGATGCAAGTGACCTACTTTTTGATTAATTTGATTTGATTAATGTGGAGTTATCTGACTGTGAAATTACACCTAAACAGCACAATGTTTATAAAATAAAACGTAACCTAAGTGTGTTAACATGTAACATTATAACAAAACTAACAGGTTTAGCACCTTATTTAATGCTATTAGCCCCCATTTTGAGCCTGACCATTTTGTTTCACATCCAAACATACATGTGTTTGAATAAATAACAGTGTGTTGAAAACAGAACTGACTTTTGGAATTTCCTGGAAAAACAGGCATTAAAATGTGTCTGGTATAAACATTCTGTGACACTTCAAGAAGACAGAATTTCTCTGTTTCTAACCACAGAGGGAATTACATAAAATTAATTTCATATAGAGGTGTTATAACAATTTTGAGAACTGTACGATTAACAGAACTGACTTTTGGAATTTCCTGGAAAAACAGGCATTAAAATGTGTCTGGTATAAACATTCTGTGACACTTCAAGAAGACAGAATTTCTCTGTTTCTAACCACAGAGGGAATTACATCAAATTTATTTCATATAGAGGTGTTTCACAACTTTGAGAACTGTACAATTCTGTCAATGCGTTATTTTTTAATAAAAAAAATACATACAAATATATTTCGATATATTTTAATATATTTTCTATTATATTTCTAATCCCCCCTCCCCCCATACAAAAATAGAAGAAGTTGAATCCCTTTATAAAATATAAAAGTTATGCATGCTTAACTTAGTTATATCTCCTTAGACGTTATTACGTAGTTAATAAGCACTGTCAGAAAAATTCTTACATTTTAACAGATGGCACAGAATAAAATCTACAATATCTTTATTTGCTGTTTGATGTTGAATTTAATTACTAAACATCATTGTTATGCCATGTTATATCATTGGTTTTATTACAATTGTTCATATTCAAGAGCTAATATTCACATTGCAAAACAGAAAATAACAGAGGCCATCTGAAATTTTCCACTGTGTATACAGTAGTACTACAGCCACATGGACAGGTCACATGACAGTCACATCATCTGAACAAAACCCAGGTGTCTCAGGGCATCACAAAGAGAGCAACAAACCTACTGTGAACTTAACTTTAAAAGTCTCTTTGATGTGAGCGGTTGGGGCCATGCTTCAGATTACTTCAAATATTGCATGCTCCCATTTTGGCTCTACAAATGTGAATGTCCAGAGTGTGGAGAATGGCAATAATTCACAGTATGCAGACCGGACAATCTGTGGCAGACTCCGCTCCCGATCTCTTTACGGCTCTGAGGAGACAAAACACTCAACGGAAGAGACTGACAAGGACAGAAGCCACATAAGACCTCGTTCAAGATCATTCTATGTTTGTGACACTGATGATGCAGGAACGGGTCATTTTAGCAGATGCAATGCTATCAGACCAAGAGCAAGATCACTACACAG